TATATTTAGCCTATTAAATGATATGTAAAAATTCTATTGTATAAAATATTTCTAAAATATATTTATGTATTACTATATAGGACGTGTGCGAGTTAGGCTAAGTTGATGCTAAACCAAATGGGAAATTTTTTGGGATTTTTTGCACTGCACACATTTAGCCATTTAACAACACGTACCGACACATCACTACATTATCGGCACAACTTAGAATTTCCCTCATTTAGAACGCAACTTAGCCTAACTCGCACACGACCATAAAAAAAAAACAAAAACAATTTTTATAAACTTTTATATCTAATCACAAAGCATCTATTTTGAATAAACAAGTATTCAATATAGTGAAGAAATTTCAACAAAAAAAATTAATTTTTTATAAGTTTATTTTTTAAGGTTTTTTTGAACCATACAAAAAAAGTTCTAATTAGAAAACATTGTCATAAAAACCCAATATTTTAATATACTACTTTTTTTGTTTTTGTAATTATTAGACTACTTCTACTTTTATTGTTTCTAATAAGTTGTTAAGACTAATTGTTAAGACAATATTCAACACCATTGCTTCTGTGTAAGCATATTCTCTTCTAAATAATGTTTTTTTATGCGCTGGAATGACTATTTTTCAGTATAAGTTGTTCTTATTCTTTATCGTGTAATATGTTTCAAGATTAAACACATCCTTTGGTACACTGGTTACTTGCCTATAATTTTAAAAACAATATCTAACTTATAACATTACCCTTTAGTTTGAACTAGGTATATAATTGAAATATTCTTTATTCTCTGTTTAATAATTTTTCGAAAATAACTAATACCTCACACAACGTGTTATATTGGGTTTCATTATAAATGGTTTTTGGCGTTTTAGTTAAATTGAATTTTTTAGTTACATATAAAATAATTTTTTAATCCAAATATTCACAATTTTTCGAGTAGTCTATGCAATTTATTGGCTTAAGCATTATATACATATGCTGTTATCGTTCTACTTCATCTTATTATAATTTCTTAGAATAAAATATTATCCAATTCATTTATTTGTTAACTATGTTTCTCGTGTCTAGACACACACGGCGCTATGCTTCTACTCGCAAATTCCAACTCCTAAATATGATATATGTATATTGTAAGATTACAGAGTTTTGTCTTTGATAAGCTGACGTAAAATAGTTTTGTAAAGATGTTATATAAAAACTCTTACTATCCTATTTTTATATTAAAACCAAGAATAATAAATCTATAGCGATTTATAATAATGAATTGCTATAACTGAAGGTTCTACCAAACACACAACAATATCCTTCTTCTCATTAATATAGGTTTTTCAACAGTCAGGTCAAATATGCGAGTAGTATTTATTGCATTTAAATTTTTAACTAATGTAAGATGCAATTTAACGGTTTTAAGTTATGTCAAAGTAAAAAAAACACCGAGAACTTTTTCTCCAATCTAATAGTTAACTGTTTTTATTGATTTTTATATACTACCAAATTGACTACAGTATCTAATTTTACTATTAACTTTACTCATGTTAACCAATATGTTTGGCATAAACATTATATATATATATTTAATAAAATAGATATTAAATTATAACATTTTGTTAATTGCATTAAGATGCGGATGTGAAAGTAAGAGTTCCATCGTGATGAGTCCTTAAACGTTAATATGTTCGTATCACGTTGATTGATCAGTTTGCATTTTAATAATTTATTAATACTTTATTATTATTAAAAAATAGTTTTTCCTTACAAAATCAGTAATGTCTTCTATTAAATGATCCGTTTTAACATTTTATCGAAGCCTGCGTTACTATCTTATGCGCTAAAATTTTCTGTGTATTAAAATTATCGCAATACCAGTGTTATTGGTATGAATTATTATGCCTATTGGCAAGACAAATCTTTGCAATCAGAATTCGGATCAAATAAAAATTAACAACAATTTTTTTCTTTACATATAAAACAAAATCGAATAGCCTAAAGCATTTTATGTTAAAAAATATTTTTTTTCATACTAAGCTACCAAAATAAAAGCAAATACCGTCACCAGTAAGTTTGCTTTGTTTTGATGATAATAGGGTTGGTAGTACTGCTTGAGAGCAGAGTGTGATTAGTCTAGCACCAAAATATACATCTTCCTTGTGGGAATACGAAGGCAACAATGAAACCAAATCTTGCTATCAAAGATTTAAAGTTTAAAAGCTTTTAAAGATACTCCTAAATCATTATTTATATATATGGCATGGCAAGTATACATTAACAACAGCATTTTGGAAAATCTTAAGGTCTTATGTATATCTGTGCGACATGTCAGTGCGACATTAAGTACCTATGAACAATACGCATTCATTTAAATTAAACTTCCAGCATAAAGCGGGTATACAATGCCTTTCTAATGTTTTACCTTAAAGGCATGAACGAGTATGCCTTTTTACCTCACATACAAAGTCTTAATTTGCATTAAAATCGCTCGCCCGCCTTCAATGTGTACCGGGCGTCGTATTTTGTCTTAGCTATTGTATGATTCGCAGTTATAGGCGGCAATTTTGAAAACGCGTTCTCGATTTGCTTTATTGTGACTGTCGTTTGTTTTGGGTAAACTCCATGTCCCATAAAAACTGCGTTTTGTGGCTGTTAAAAGTCTTGTACTTATACATATATATATATAATAAGTTCATATATAATACCTCAAACCATTGTTAATATTTTTGTTTCTATTTTTATTTCTATTTCAATTTCAAATACACTTGAACGGTTTTTATTATTATTAACTCAACTTTAGTTTCAACTTGTTTTTTTTCTTTTGTATTTTCCTTGCCCTTATATCTGTTTGTATATCTGTGCGGAGTTTTGTGTGGCCACAATAAACTACATATGTATATTTGAAAATAAAGAAATTTACTCTGTTTTGCTGTTGTGTATTTTTTTTAATTTTCTAAAATTTCTAATAGACTTTTCATTAACGGGGCGTGCGTTCAATGGAACAATGACTTTATTTGTCGCAACCGACTGAGTTATCTATTTGTTACGTTGTTTACTTCAGTAGATACATATAGCATTGTTTACTGGGTTACTTAGTTGCCAATTTTGAAAATCGATTATTTGATATAGAGTTTTTATTTATTTTTCTCTATATAGCATGAGGCGTACCTATTTTTATTTTATTTGGGTGCTGTCAGTGAAGCAAAAGCTGATGAAAATCCATTCAAAATATTTACAATTGTTACAGGGTTAATGCACTTGCTCTTGCTCAGTCTCATTGACTGAAATAAACTCAAAGGCTTGGCTAAAACAATGCACTAAAAATACGAATTTAAATACCAGCATAGAAACGACAGAAAAGATTAAGATAAGTTAGTGCAGATTATAGTCAAAAGGTCATTGGCCAACAAATAAAAAAATCCACCCAACTTCAGATGAAAAAATAAATAAAAATTAGTGTATACTTTATAACAAGCGTATTTATTTAACACTTTGCCAAAAATAATACAATGAAAAGATTTGAAATCTATGAACGTAAACTCGATCTGGTGTATTGTAAAATTTACACGCAGAAGTCATCCTTAATTTCCGAAATTGGTTTACATTAATTGTGAATCGATTCCACTGAAAGGAAGTTAGTCCAGGTTCCATTGATTTTTATTGTATACAGCTGTTCAATTCTTGAAATTAATTAAATTATATTACTTCAATGCAAAGAAATCAAGTATCAAGATGTGTAAATAACTACAATAAAAAATGATTTTAAGTTTTGAATCAAAAGCAGTAAGATTTTTCCTTTTAAGTAAAAAATAATCAAATCAATTGGGATATCGAATTTGCTACTTCAAAATGAAGATTATGCCTCGAATATGAGGAAACTGTTATGCACATTTTTTGTGACTATCCAGCTTTAACAACGTAAAGAAGAAATTTATTTCATATATAATTTCTGTCACCAGTACAGATTGAGAGCTCTTCTTTACATTTAGTTCTGGGCTTCGAAGGGCTTTGTGTAATCAATAGTGAAATTAGTACAATAGGACTCTTCTGGCCGCAGTACCAGCTATTGAGCGAATTCACATCCATACATATGTAGTTTAATAATAATAATTGGAATATCCAAATTTCTACAAGCAATTCAAAACCATTAAACTATATGGAGATAAATGTTCCAACTAAGCACTCACTCGAATAAACAGATAGTCAATAGCAGGTTTTTTCTTAAATGGTTCTAACATATGTGTTATAAGTGCAGGGTTCAATTTTACTATAAATAAAAAAGTAATGAAAAAATTTATCATTACTGTTTTTTTTAGGAGTATGGACTCGTATAATTTGACCCAATCTATAATCTTGTTTGAGTTGAAATATTTGCGCTTATATGTTTTTATTTAAATAATATTTTATTTAAAACGTAGCTGAAATGAAAAGTGATGATTCAGATATAAGTTCTTATAGAAAAACCATAATCATTCTCTAACAGATTTGGTTCTTCAAAAATCACACATATCGAAGCGTTGCTGTTTGAAATGGTCTCTTTGACTACTCATGTACTCATGTAAATATCAAACAAATATCAAATAAATGGTTCTAAACTAAAAACTTTTCATTATTGAATTCCCGACAATACTGTGTTAAATATAATTTTAAACTCCATTAAAATAAAAACTTGATTCTTGATTTGTGTTGAAATTATTTTGAACTTATTTTTGGTATTCCGAGTAATTTGTTATATATTTGAACTGCCCATACAGTACACGTCACGCAGAAATGTGGAAAATAGCTGTTAGGCCTAGTATATAGAATGCAATATGAATTTAGGATAACTGGATAGGGGAATGTACATGCTATATTATATTGGACTTTAGCACTCTTTTAATAAATATTATAGATATTTCAAATTATACGTTGAAAAAAAGTTGTCATTAAACTAACGTTGCTTCACATCTCAACGTGCCTTCAATAATTTACTTTCTGTGAATATTTTTTTTTTCTTTTATTGAAAAATTTTAAACCACATTAACAAATTCTTTCTTTATTCCAATTTCAAAAATTAAAAAAACTCTCAAGAACATTGCATTTAATATAAATCATAGGCCTTCATAAGAGCTGCTAGGTGTGATTTTACTCTCAATTTTTTTTTCGGTTAATGCTGAAACAATGTAAAATAAAACTTTATGTAATGAAAACTAAATTTATAACGAATAAAATTACCAGATATATCTTATTTATAAATCTGTTGGAGTCTTGTGTGTCTTCTCTTTAAAACAATGTTGTTAGAGGTTAAATTAATGTTCTTAAACATTTTAAGTAGTTGCTTGTAAATTTCATCATGTCAAATCTGTAAATATGCATTCATAGATATGTATATATATATATCAATTTATAATTCAAAATATTATAATGCTTAGTGTTTATATGCTTAGTTTATCGTAATTAAATACAGGTTAAGTTAAGCGAATATCGATAGCATGGTGTATATTTTACTATAATAGTAATATTTTGATTTTAAATTATCTTACCAATATATATTGAATCCTATGGGTATTTCAAATTCTTAATAATAATAAGATTAAAGTATAGAATGGCAAAAAAACTAAAAGAGTATTATTTATTATTTTTCTTCAGAGTCTTTTAGTTTTTTTATTTGTTCTACGGCATATGTATAATCATTCTTTTCACTTCTTTTACGTTTTATTAGGAATTCAGAGCTCGACGGTTTCTCGCATTTTATTGGTTCTACGTATTCTAATTTGAGTTTATCTCTGAATTGCTCATGTAAGTCGATGTCGTCGAAATCCATTTCTGATGTAGTATCGCATTTTTCTGGCGAAAATTCTTCTTCCGACTTTACGAAATCGACATCCATATTTTCAAGTCTAACGACACACTTGGACAATTTTTTCTTGCTCATAGTAAATGTTAACAAACTTGCTGCTTACACGAATTAAATTCTTTGAGATTTTTTAGCCCAATGAATCTGTTTCGTCGTCCCGTTAGAATTTCAGACGCTACTCATATCATATCAAATTGACACAATCGACTAATTGCGATTACCAATAAAAGTACCCGATTCTTACACTAAGAAATATTATTATTCATTTAGCATGTGTTGCCTCATCAAATTGAAATTTCTTTCTAAATAACATTTTAATTGTACATAATTATCTTATTGACATAAGATAATATAATAATATAATATTTTTATATATAATATTTATTGAGTATTTTAATATTAATATTCAGTAATTTGAACAAAGTTTTAAACGCTTTTTAATACATTATGTTCGAACATATATTTTTTAAATTTGATTTGCGTTTATAAAAACAGAGGTATATAAACAAATTTTGTCAATATTTATCTAATGTAGAGCAAAATTGGTGTGCCATCAACAATCAGCTGATTCCGTTTACGTTACGTAGACGATCAAAACATCGTTGATCACGTAACATTTTATGCGTTTTTTGTTCTTTGAGTTTTTGATCAAATAAGCAGGCGATCGTATAATTTTACTTCTTTTTCGTAGCTTATTAAATATATTAAATACTCCTTTTATTTAAGTGTTGCTTTTATTACGCATAACAAATATTACACTAAAATATCAACATTTTAAATACCAGGGGAAAAAATTTTTTTAGGGTGGTGTTTTACGTAGATTTGTTATATAAAGATTATATAGAATTTTTAAATATTTAAAATTGTCTAATGTATGTTTAAAAATAGTATATCGACGTGTTTTTATACTAAAAAAAGCGAAAGACAGTTTATTTGTGTTCTTTATTATCAATCATATTGAATATTTGAAGTAAATTTGAAATTAGACATTTTTTTGAACAGTATTGAATTGTAACCACAAATTTGCTTACCAAATTTGAAGCTCAGAGTCAGTGTTAATTAGCCAACAGACCCAAAGCCGTCCTAGAATTGTAACTAACTTGGAGTAATGTTAATTTGTTGTGAAAGTCAATTAACAATTTCACTTAGTATGTTATATTAGAATGAAATCATAAACCAGTTATAGAATAATTGAATAATTTAATTATAGTTGTTTTAATTGTTAGATTTCTCTACTATTTTTTAAAAATTCAAAGAAAAGAACAGAAAAAAACAACTGTTTAAAATGATTCCATAACTTGAACTTTAAAGAAAGATTTGGTTATATTTATACAACAAATTATGAAACTAATATCGTAATCGGTTTCTTTACAATTTCTATGAAACATGCTAGGTTTACGATTAGAGCGGAAGGTCCACCACCTCAAAGTAAATATTGGTAAAAACTGATTCAAAAGTTTGAATTAAACAAACACATGTTAGTTGGGTTACGTATTTTAACTAGCTAAAGTGCTAAATATTGGTATGTAATACAAACTAGTTTGTACAAATTTAACAACTTGGCACTAGTGAAAAGGTCTAACATTAATATAATACATTTCTATGTTCATTTTAAAACACACATTTTTTAACATATACTAAAAGCAATATCAAATTAGTGATCGACGATCATTTGATAATATGTGTAGTATGTTCCCTTAAGGCTGAATTAGTTGTGCCATAAGCGATTTAATTCTTTTTATTTTAATAATAATGCAATTGATTATTCGTACCTAAATAATAAAGAAAATACAAATGACACTTTAATTTTATTTTGCATATGTATATGTACATATCAGTATGTTGTATAATAAGGAACACAATTATTTTCGTCTTTATGTATATAAAGATGGCTATGTGAAAAGTTACATTCTTATTATACTAGGAAATATTTTTTCTATAGTTTACTAAATTATTTAAAATTAGAATTAGCAACAATTTTTTTAACATTTATACACATCAATATGTATATAATATTAATATTGATATTATATTTAAGATTCCTATATAAAAATATTCTTTGATCAATAACTTATACTAACTCTTCTATTGTTGAAAAGTAAAGTTTTTCCCACGTTTTTAGCGTTTTATAATCAAAATATAAAAAAATGACCGGAATTATATACATAGTTTCAATGATCTTTACGATTATATTGCCAAGGTGGATCTTGTTCCACCTTGTTCCTTTTGCCCTTTGATATAAGCCACTTTTATATACACATACATATGTATATAAAATTTGATGGAGAGTTGAAATGTAGAAAATAACTTGAATCAGGTACGTTTTAAAATATAGCAATAAATTGAAGTACATATACAATATTAGAACATTTTCTCGAAATGGATTCGAGACAATATATCAAAGTGTGATATTGCCTGGTTAAGATCGAGACGCCTGGTTTCCATGTTTTAAATATATACTATATGTGTGTATATTTGAAACTTGTTTGAATTCTGGAATAGTCTTTAGAAAAGTTTATATTTATATATCAGTTTAGCAGCAAATGCTATTAAGTCACGTAACTATATGTGTTTCTAAATATATATATATATATTTATACATATGTAAATAAAATTTTTGTATTTCGTATTTTAAAGTTACATTTGAAAGTCATTACATTTGAGAGAATTTAATGTAAATTTAAATTTTACACGTTTTTCAAATTTTAATGAAACGTAACTAATATTTTTACCTAAACGGAATTGATTTTATTTACTGTCGTCATTGTATAGTTTGCATATATGTATGTGTCATTCAAAATATTTAATTCATTTATCTGTCCACTGGATTAAACTTCTATTTTTATTGTTTTACATATATTTTACAAACTACAAGATTTACAATTGTACGAATATAACATAACATAATACTGTATACTGAGTATGCAGGGAAAACTTCATGAAAAGTTTTTCATGGCATGGACATGATTGCATCGGATCCAGAAATTCATACTTGGTTAAAGATTAGTTACGTTTTGTGTACGGAACTCAGTTATTTCGAATGAAATGATAGCAAATCAAATATTAAATATTCAAGTTTATTTGGTGTTAGCAACTAAATTTAATTTTATATTGTAGTGTTAACGTTTAGGTTTGGATGAAGACTAGTTTTTATTTATTTCATTATAATTTACAAGCAAACTTAACTATGTATGAATTATCATTCAAACTCTGCTCTCTTATATTCTACTTTAAAAAAAGCTTATTCTATTTATATAAAAGATTAAACTCTACAGCCCTCGCTCCTAAGATGATAACTATACAGCTATATAAATATACGCGATATACATAAGTAAAATATAAAATATAAATATAAAATATAAATGCAATTCATTTTAATTCACTTTATAAATTATATGTTTATATATTATAAAACCTGGAACTAGAGCACTGAAAGTTTGTGCAGCCTTGGCGATTCGTGGATAAACACGATTAGTTATCGCTTCTAATTTGACAGTCACGAGTTCTAAGCTTGGCACTTACAGTCCAAACAAATTATATACGGACTGTAAACTAATTAAAAATTCATTTATTTCCTGAGACCACTGATGATGAGCGATACTCGAAACTACGTTTTATGGTCAGCCAAATTTTAATAAAATTGAATAAATTTTTGTGTTTGCCCTTTCGTTCTTTGCTATTCGAAAACCCTCTAAATTTTAAATATAGCTGCTTTGTCACTATTAAGAAAGCGTGCCTTTTTCAGCAACACTAATACATACATTAAATGTTATAAATTATATGATAATAATTATGAAATATTTAATAACAAATTGTTGTTCCTTATAAATTAAATTATATCCTTTAAATTATTCCTTATAATTAATCTTAAGTCTATGTTCTCGCAGACGCGAGTAACCACTATCTAAATGTACATCCTTAGTCATATCCTCCCCCGTAGTAGTGACGACTGCCTCTACATTTGGGCTTGATTCATCAGCAGCACTGTTAAACTCATTTGTAGATGAGTTATATTGCATAGCATTACCACTATAAGCCATCATCTGAATCACTCTATTAGTTCTTTATATTGTGCAACCATATGTTCGTCGGTCTAAACGCTCTTTAATTATCGCTTCTTGCCATCCCACCTTATTTGGATCTCATAAATATCGAAAGAAGACCGATATGCCTTCCGTAAAAACAATCTCTAGAGACCCCCTTTGGTTTTGAATGTTACTGAACTGTTTTTTAACTCACTCTGTCTTTGACTAAAGGTGTTTTTAGTAAATCAAATCGCGTTTTCATTTCTCTACTTACCTAGCGAAGGACCTAGTACTTCAGTTCCTAATTCTTAATTAACTTTACAATTAATTTTAGTTTTAATGCTCAAAGGATTAATATATAATTTTATATGTAGTTCATAATATTGTCATATAAAAAGAAATCGTTTGTTGTCTCTTAAATTGAGCTACCCGAATACTGAAATATAACAAACTAAATTAATATATAAATATTTACATATTATAAATATATTATTTATATCAATCTTTTCACGTAATTTTTTAATAATAAATTTTTGTTTTTGTATTGCAGGTATTTTGCCATTCCAACTGTTTTTTTACATATAAATCGTCGTATTTAGTAAGTAAGTATTTCCGGTTTTATTTTTATTTACCATATTATCAGATTAATATTTGCTTTAAGGATAAAAATAGTTATTTAATAAAAACTAAACATGCATATGCATGAGTGTTATATAATTTTTCATATGTAATGTTTATTTAATATTCCAGATACCTACGGCAGTTATTAATTAAATAATAATTGTCAATGTATGAACTTTAATGTCAAACTATATTGAGGTTTTTCAAATATGAATAACATTTAAAATTTAGTTGGAAAAATTAAAACTTTACATATTCAAATCTGATACTTGATTTAAGTAAAGTTGACAAATTTGCCAATTGCATTTATTCAACTGTAAAAAGTCATTGAAATATTGCTCATGGCCGTGTTTTATTGAAATATCAAAAGCGGACATAAATTTCAAATTTGTTCAATATGTGTATTATTTTTACTAAAATCATTAAAAATTTATTTGCAACCCCTCTAACATATATATACATATAATGAGTCCGCACTTAGTTTTAGATGTTCTTGTTTTGATTTAAATTTATTTAATAAATAAACAAAATGCCCATTTTTACAGAAACTTGTTATATTCAAAATTGAATATAATATATTTTTTTTCAAATATTTTTTTATTCAAACTAATGATACCAAATAGATTTCATCAAATGCCGAATATAAGCAATATTTTGGTGTTCCATTACCAGGTATCCTGTGATTCCTGGACAGCATTTTACAAATATAGTTTTGTCAGCCAAACCTACTTCGTTAAATAAATTATTTATTCTAAAACGTAAAGACTGGTATGTTTTGATATTACTTAGGAATACATTTACACTTTCGCAATTAACTTGATAAATGTGTAGCAATTAGTAATATTTTCCATATGTAATTCATATAAAAATGTTCAAGATGATTGCGCTAAAACAAAACAATTACTTTATTATTGCCCACTATAACACAATTCTACATTTGTGTAATTATGTCAAGTTATGTAGAAAATATATTGGCGAATCATATTAGGGGTATTCACTCTGTCTTGCAAAGTCATTCGTAAACTCAGACTGACCGTCATCGGAATGGTGTGTCCCTCTCCCTAACATTAATATGTAGTATATGAACTAAAATACCTCCTCATCGGCGAGACATTTTCTCCTCTAAACCACTTTCGCAATTACAAGGAGGGTCTCTCTTTTATGTTCGCATTTCAAGCTATGCTTTTGTGATTTTCGATCTGCGTTGAGACCTCCACTTTTTCACCGCATTTTGACTGCATTTTCTTGGTGTCTGCACTATTTATTAGCCTGATTTCTGGTTTTCCTTTATATTCAGATTTTTATTACATTTTCATTTCGATATGTTTAAAATCCATAGCAAACTGCTACAACTTAATTGCAGTCATACACAAACGTGATGGACTTGAGGTGTACACTATACAAAATTCTAGTTTTTAGTGACTTATGCCTCCGTTGTAAGCTAAAGCATATTTTGTATCCAATCATATATGGTTATATCGAAAATGTTATATCAAAATGTTTTTTGTTGTAAATATTATGCGTTTTATGCATATACTTGGATATAGTATATCTAAGTATATGATATACCAGGGTTCAGAAAAACACTGTGCCGTGCACAAAAATGCAAAGCACCACGCACAAATGTTGTGCGAAATATAGACGTCTAGCTAATAGTGAGAAAATTTTTAAATTTAAAAATTTAATTATTAATCAAATGAATTCTTCGTTTGATCGCACAGCTAACTCGGATGTCTCGGATGTCGCTAAATATCCATTATCAGCTAGTTTAAAAATATTAATAATGTGTTTTATTAAACTATTTAGAAAATTTTTACAAAAAATTGCTATCAACAAATCTAATTTTTGCATAAAATTTAAATACTTAAAAATACGTACTTTTCACTATTTATAAATTTTGGATTGGTTCCTACTGCTGATTCCTACTTCGTTCTCATAAATTTTAAGCGGCATTCTCATATCCGACATTCTTATCACATGTCCAACCCAATTTGTTGATTATATCACATTCAGCTAGCCGTTCTAGCTCGTAGTTGTATCTTATGCGATACATCCCGTTTTCTTTCAAGGGACCAAAAATTAGCTGAGTATGTTTTGTACATTTTTAGTTTTGTTTTCTACGAAATTTTGTTACTTGTAATTAGACGCTTTAATCCATCAAAGGCTTTGTTCCCAACTTGTACACTATCTTTTAATGTAGTCATTGATAGATTGTTCTCGCTAAACACAACATCTAGGTATTTGTAGCTACTGACACCTTCAATTAAATGGTTGTCAATGTTTAGGACATTTGGCATAGATTATTTTTATACCCATTTTATACCCAACAATACAAGGTCATCAGCATATCCACATAATTATGTTGCTCTGTTTACAATTGTAAACACTTTATTTGCTTTATTGTCTTGTAAATTTTTGTTGCTTATTCAACAGGAATTGCACTCGCATTGATTTTTTAGAACTAACGCATAAACCACAGCTATATAAAATTACTTAACTATTACAAATTCATATTATTTCAAATTTATTTGTAGAAAACATTGCTTATGTACTTGCATTGGATCGGTTGCATTTTGCAAGCCTGTTTAAAAAGTTTTGCTTGTTGTCGAATTCTAGAGTCGCTTTAATGAGATGAAGACAGATAGAATAGTGGTTGAAAACTCCCGTTTTAATTCTATTAGTATAATTGTTCTACATAATTTTTGAACTATGAATTGAAACTTGAAACGTGAACTTGAATAGTAGTTCACTTTTTTTAATGTTTCTAAATAATATATGAATGCAAAATAATATTTTATTAATACCTTCTGCTCAAAAAGTATCCGGATTTTGTTGTTTGTTAACTACTCCTTAATATAGACTTATAGTAATAGACATTTTTCAAAAATTTTTGAAATTTGAGCGCCATCTGTCATCTAGTTTGTTTACAGCAGCTGTTAATGTGAGACTATCTCAAGTGCATTTAGCGATTTTTACTATGGAAAATTCTTGTTGTATGCGATTTTTTGACCAAACACAGAACCACTGTCATGGCTCAGGCACCATATTCGCCAGATCTGTATTCGTGCGACTTTTTCCTGTTCCCGAAACTCAAATTGCCCCTTCGTGGTAAGCGTTTTGAGTCGATTGAATCGTTAAAAGAGAATTTGCTGAAGGAACTAAAAGCCATACCTTTACGGGCCTACGAAAAGTGTATGGAAGATTGGGTTAAGCGTTGGCATATGTGTATCGCTTCAGAAGGAGCATATTTTGAAGGAGATAAAATAAATTTGGAATAAAATTTAAATTTGTGTGTTTTATTTACAAGATCCGAGTACTTTTTGAGCAGAAGGTATTGATTATTTTCATTTTCAAAATACAATGCCATTAATATAACGCATTAACCTTGTTTATTGATTTGTTTATTTTTGTTGAAATTTGTAATTTTTCAAGAAGCCATTATATAAATATAAATAAATCTATGTATTAATATATAAAACGATATTATTTTCCACGCTTTTAAATTATAAATCATGCAATAATCTCATTAAAGTTAGAGGAAAACTAGCCACTTAAGGCTCCTCGGCGTGTTGCTTTTACATTTCTTCTGTGAGTTAAAGTCAAAGTTGAAATATTCATTTAAAGTGTTCTCATCCATAGCGGTTGACATATTAACTTGTGTAAAGCACATACAACTATAGTACAACTCATTCATACCCAGCAGTTAGAATGGCTCATAAAATATGTATTTTCATATCCGAAACCCAATTAAGACAAATACCAGCACATGGCACCACTCTTGAGCGTTTTTCTCACATTTGATTTCTACACTGACTGAACGACGACGTGGTGGCACATGTAGATTGCTTAAATCGTTATACTTTTAATCATGCAACCAAGTTAAGTTTCACTCGCTTCGATACTGTCATAGACAGTATGTTACCTGTTTCCAAGTCGCTTTGACCGATTACTTTCGAATTTCTCTAACTTTATTTGAATTTAATTTAACTAGAAAATTTAGTTTGTTGGCAAAATAAACAATCTAATAAGTCATAGTAACTGAATTTCGAAAAGCGAGCAAAAAAAAAAAGAGGAAAAGAAACACATTTCATTTGGGCTTATAAAATTCAACATTGTGCCATGGGGTGTGTTTTCCTCTGATAATTTGGTTTTATTTCACTTTATTACAAACTTACTCTGTTTCGGTACTGGGCTAAATAAGGTGGAACACAGACAATGCCGGCTGAAATTTCGCTTCACTTTTTTCACCTAACATTTTCTAACGTTTTTATCGTTTAAGTAATAAATTCTTGTGAACATATAAAGAACGATTTGCACAGATGGGGCGAAATATTTAAAGACCTCATGGTTAGCAATATCTTTTTATTTGAGAAATTGAGGAAAATGCATTTGTTTCTATACATAAGCATTGTTATTGTTGTTGAGTGAGTTTTGTTAAAGCTTTAAAGGGATGAAAACTTAAATCTTTAGAGAAATCGAAATATGAATCCACAATGAGTAAATGGGCGTAAAAGATAACATTTGGCTACTATTGTTATGTTGCTATTGGAAAGTAAAGCCCCATTACTAATTTACAAGTTTTCGTTTTCATTTTTATTTTTATTTTTGTATTTCTGTTTAAAGCTACTGAAAATACAATATATGACTCAATTAATAAGCAAAACAATAAATATTTTTTATTTATTTATTTTAATTAACGTTAACGTTTCAAGTTCTAAGTGCTAAGTGCTAAATGTAACTGGACCCTAGTATTAATTTTTCTCTTAACTGGACTGTATTGCCGATCCCATCGGTGTCTACTTAAAAGATTTTTATTCCCTTCGCATTTTTAAGTTAGAAAAACAAAATTTTTCCAGCACTTTTAAATAACTTTAACTTAACCCAGGTGAATGACTTATTTGCGCCAATGGAAGTGTTTAATTCCAATATGTAGTGTCTATACAATCCAATTTGAGGTTTATTTTTATTCAATTTAATTTAT